CGATTCATTTTTACCGTGATAAAACCATTCGATCGATCCTCATGATCACCCTCATCCATTTCCAGTTCAAATGATTTCAATTTGAGGAACAGAACCTTGTCTGATTTTGTTGGTAGTGATCTCAAAAAATCACCTGAAATATTCATAGAAGATAATTCAGAATGAAACGGAGAAACCTATCGCACAAGATTTGAATTGTCAAAGTTGTTGTGACTGCAATGAAACCATTTCAAGTACCAAACTTAAAGTTGGTGGAAAATAATGGATCTGGATATCAGCAATTAAGCGAAACTGATGAGGCAGTATCCAGTTTCGAGCCGCCTGAAAAATTACGCAGTTGAACGGTCGATTAGTAACCGACTAAACATAGTCACTAATTGCAAGCAGTTTTTCAATCAGACAAGGAGGTAACCGCGATGATCGACCTGATTGCAGCGGCATAAAAATTTCAATTACTGAACTTCAGTGCTCTCATGATGATGAATGAAACGAACGGCAATGAATGCTATCGATGAGCGAAATGCAAAACGTTTTAAACAAACCATTTTCAAGCGATTACATTAAAATAAACTCTGATTAGAACTGCGATATTGTTTTTGTAATAATGCACTTGATGTGACTCATTCCATTTGTTCCATACGATTGTTTCATAAGCAACTTGTTAAAATGAGCATTGTTTCAATCAAATTCCATGATTCAATGCATTTTCGATGGACCTGCTTCCAAACACAAAACTCTGATTGTGAGCGATTATAAATTATTAAAGACTGATCGCAACGTTGGTCATAATAACGTGCAGTTCAATAGAATGATCGATTAGAGTTGATTTCACTTCATCGAATTGGATAGGGACAAAAGAATTGCTTGTGTTGAATAAATGCATGCGTTCAGGTCAACAAATGATTTGTGAATTATTAATATTGGCCTTAATATTAGTGTCAAATCAGTGATTGAATTTTGCATATTGTGCAACGAGGCTACAAGTACATTGCATATCACGTATTCAGTATAATTTGCATATTCTTATTCAGATCAGCAGTTTTTAGTTTCAACGTATTGTGTAGGATTGACGCTTATGAGAAGGTTGGTTGTAATGAATCGTTAGTTTTGAAGTGGGGTGGATGAAAGTGTCCGAACAACGTGTTATTGTGATATTCTGCATTGTTCCCTCAGCTTTGGCCCCTAATTTGAATATAAGATGAACCTATTAATCTAAGCGGTTTTCCGCCATAGTGGGAGATTGCGTCGGGAGTCAGTAGATTGACTGACTTAACGATCATTCCGAAAATCTTGTATATTTTCAGAATAAACATAGAAATAAACATTAGTCGACTTAATTGTTCAGAATCAGTGAATGTAATTGTTATCTCAGGGATACTTAAACGTGTTCATGTCATATCGTCTGGTAGAATAACATCATGAACTCATCATACTTTCAGATTTGCGGCCCTATGTCAGAATTACTCGGTAAATTACCAGTATCAAAACGACCAGATATTTCGAAGCCTAGATGGCCTCAGAATACCTATCAGGGCCGCCTCCGACATTTTTGGACCACCGCAAATCCAATGAATCTTTTTCATTCAAATGCTGAAATTGAAGCCGCTCAAAAGACCGTACTTGATTACAGGTAGATTACTTACTCGACTGATCGGTCAATTTCCCTGGCAAAATTGGTATTTAATTAGGCGCATGTTTTTACCGTGACTTGTTCAAAAGACGAATCTTGAAAATATCTCAGAAATGGCATTGTTGACGAGCAAATGACTGTTGACGAATTGTGGCGAAGGAAGGCTATTTACGATTCAGCTTATCACGCAACAACCGGCAAGAAAATGNTGCCCATGCAATATGATTATCACTGGTGGTCTTCTTACAACATATCAGTAAGTATGAATTTGATTGTGAAACGAATCGGATGATTGCATTGAACTCAATGATGACCGATGATACGAATTTATCAGTTTCTTACGTTCGTGAGTGGATCTTCCATTAACGTGATTCAATTCTATCCATTCTACCGGCTGACTCTAAGAGGATGATTAAAACTGACCATAATGACAGATTGCAACGTTCTGATTTGTAATCCTGCATACTCACCTCAAGTTCATCATATAACCGTAGTTATCGTTATGGTGCATCACTTATAGGAATCTACCTGGTCTGTTATTTTGGCATTGGTTTAATCAGTCGTTCAATGCCGTCGTGAATTGGACAAATCGCTCGGGCGATAGTAAAATTACAATGAAAGGTTTATTGACAGCGTACGTTTGTGCTACGGGTGGAGCCGTAACAGCCGCGTTGAGTTTGAACTCAATCGTTAAGGTTTGGAAGTTACAGATTCGCATTCCAGTGGATTTATTTGCTTGAAATGGGGATAAAATAGCACATTTCATGATCATCAGAATAAGAGACGAACGCAATTTCATGACCATCCAAATCACAAACATCAAAGATTTAATGACAGTGGAATGGAAGTATTCAATAAGCAATGAACTTGCGAGTGCTAGTCAAATTGATATGTTCCAGAATCTACACCCACTCATTCAACGTCTCGTACCGTTCATCGCGATTGCAGTGGCAAATGCCATCAATATACCGATGATGAGAAACGTGTACGTTATCTTATGCCCGGTTACGATGTTATCTTAAGAATGCTTATTGAGATTAAGTATCCGTGAAGAATTGCTTAGTCATAATTTGTCTTTAACATCCACAGGAAAAGCCATTTAGTATGTTTCAAACTACGGATATGGCAAAAAAAAGAATTCTCAGATTTGCTCTCGCACGCAATCAAAATTGCCCATTCTTGACGTCAAATGCTTGTTTGTGATCAGTGAATTGTGCCGATCAAAATAGCAATTTCAACTTCCTCATGTGTACTGCATCAACGAAGATGGCTAGATCCTAGTCGTTTCTTTCAGCGAACTTCGAGAAGGTATTGATGTTTGCGATAAAGACGGTAACAAGCTGGGCAGTAGCCGAGCTGTTGCGCCTCGAGCGATATCGCAGGTGGTGATCAGTCGAATCGGCATGGCTTCTCCATATATGAGTGAGTTTTACATCAATTTCCATGACGTCCCAGTCGGTAAAGCAGTTCTTTTATTCCGCTTCTTATTCAGTTTTTATAAAAGAATTTCAGAGTTCATTAGATGTTACACTTCAGACTTCACTTCTAACTTATTCAACGTTACTAACGATACAATTTTAATGTCACGCTTGCTTGCGGCAATACTAGTAGTAGACTTCACGTNTCGTTTCGTATCAGTTGCTTTGAATTTACAGTAATCACTCCTGCAATCGCTCATCAAATGATGAAGAAACAATGGTACCGAGTGAGTGTTCATATGTTTTGTTTTGTTCCTAGAACAAGAACACA